AGAATCAAAGCATGGAGTTTTTAGGGTTCTTAGTTCATCCACATCAAAAACAACTCACACACAAGCCAAAGGTGACACTTTTTCTTACAAGTCTTCATCTTTCTTGAGTTTTAACCTCTACCACACATTTAACCATCAAGACCCCATTTTTAATAATTTACAACATCATTATCAACATATAATTATTATGGACGAAATGGAAAGTGGGAGGAAGAAGGGTTTGGATTCATCTTTTCCATGGATTCAAGCCTTACCTCTCCAAGATGGCTCCTTTAGATCAAGATCCAACCTTTACTTACCAAGAATGTTTCTTTTTTACCAAGAACCCACCTTCATAAAATATTCAAGGATTTAGAACCAAGAACATGAATTTAAAAGAGAAAAGGTAGGGTTTTTGAAGAAGAAAATGTAAGAAACTTACACTAGACTCGAGAAAACAAGCACCAAATAACATCTCCATGGCATGAAGAAACTTCAAAATCGCTGCTATAATGACCCTTATTTTGTGATCTTAAATTTAAGGGTATTATGCACAGATGAAATTTCATCTGTTAATTTTGACTGCTGACGTAATAACAGACAGTAGAATAGCTTCAAATTAGCAAATTATAGTTAGAGATGAAGGATACCCTTCTTCCTCCCATACCCATTTCGTCCATAGTAATTATATGTTGATAAGGATGTTGTAAATTATTAAAAATGGGGTCTTGATGGTTAAATGTGTGGTAGAGGTTTAAAACTCAAGAAAGATGAAGACTTGTAAGAAAAAGTGTCACATTTGGCTTGTGTGTGAGTTGTTTTTGATGTGGATGAACTAAGAACCCTAAAAACTCCATGCTTTGATTCTGCCCACTTCATTAATATTAGGGTTTAGGGTTAAAATTAATAAAGGTGACACATTTGGGGACTAAAGACATAAAGGACTTAATTAAACCATGAAAGTGTGTTAATAAGACAAGTAAAAACCTTAATCTTATGACTATGCAATTCAGCCATATGGATATATATTAGGGTTTGATGTCTTAAATTGGTTCTAAGACTTAATTAGGAGAATGGAGGGACCAAGTGAGGTGGATTAAGCATAATTGATTTATTAAATCTTAAACACATTTAAGTCTAAGTAACCAGTTTTTAGGCAAAATTGGGGAGAGCACATCTCCCTCCACAGCGGTCATATAGGGCTGTGCCTTATATCAAATTGAATCTTGAGATGTTAGCTATGTGGTGTCAAAGTTTGGTATCAATTGAAGATGTATTACATTCTATATTTTCGTTTGAGTGAGGACTGCACAGGGAGGCCATGTGCAGGGGCGCTGTACATGGCTGCAAATTCCACGAATTGTTTCTCCCTCTGTTCTTACTCAACATAGGCTAATAATATGTCGAATTAAAGATAAAGGTGTCTAGTTGTCTACATAAAAAGTTTAGAGCAATTGGTTTAGTATATTTTCCATAATCGCAGAAATGGTAAAGAATGTTTAGGGCTCTGTTCGGAGTTGGCAAACAGTTTTGCTTGTCCAACTTCAAATGGTGATAACCGGAGCTAGGAAAATCCAAATGAGGTATGTGATACCTTGTTGGAAATGTGATTGAGTCTAGATTAACATACTAAAAGATGAGAATTTTATAACATGTGAGTTACGTTCAGTAACTAGAAAATAGAAGCATGTACAGTTATGGGAAAACCATAAAAGTGATATTTAAGCTAAGTGGGCTTAGGGAACCCTTAGTAACTTATAATAATCATAAATATGGCTTGGATGAGTTGAAAAATAATCTAAGTTACCTAAGTGAGCCTTGCATGTGATTCTAAGTTATGTGATTAATTGAAGATTTAGGTAGCTTGTAATAATGCACTAAAATACGTAATTATGTAATAATTGGTCTAGACTTGTAATGGGCATATTATTTGCATATGAGTATGAAAAGTGAAATCATTAAATGATTAAGTTGTGGATATGACTTGATTAATTAATATGTAATTAATGATGTAATGGTTCCTACTATAGGTGTGCCTAGAGAACCGTACACTTGAGGATTTTGTTGGAGCATACGTATACTATTGGAGTGTGGGCTTGTGCTAAGCTCCCTGAGGTAAGCTCCTAGTTCTAGTTGACTCCTCTCTCTTGTGGCCCCACCATGATGGTGGGAATTATGGTTATATTGTATGAAAGTATATGGTATGATGTATATGTGCATTCATTCACATTCATATAGTTGTTATATGATCTTGATGTTATGATGATGCATTGATGATATATGTTATGAGGATCCTGGCCAGTGATCATGGTATGTAGGCTGCCTATGACTTGACTCTGGGAGCTATTTCATTCTGAGGTTGTGTTGACTGTCTATGGCTTGACCCAGGAAGTCACACATGTGTAACCGTTTATGGCTTTGACCCTGGGGTTACACAAGGATGATATGATGATGCTATGTTTTTTATGTATGTTTGCATTATATGCTTTATATCTGACTTGTCATGCAGGAAGTGGGCTCGGGGGATTAGAGGATCCTCTATGAACCTTGAGCTTACGGAGATGTTGTTATCTCATCCTGTTTGGGGACATCATTTCAGGTATACAGAGTAGTGGTGATGCTTCTAGGGGCAAGGCCCCCCCATTGGAGTAGATGATGATGCAGTTTATGTTTAGATTTGATGTTAGCATGTAGACTTGTTAACATGCTGAATTATTTTATGGAGATTATTGTATGTGTTTATTTAGGCTCATGATTGTATCCTTAGAGCTATGGATTAATTACTGATGTTTTTATAATTTGAATTAATATAGACTTGATGTATGCATTCAGTTAATTTGGGCATGGAGCCTTCTTGTTTGTATTGACCCATTGAGAGGATTGCAGTCCGTGTGGGACTTACAAGCTGTCTGTTTATATTATTATATTTATCAGGTTAACTGTATATGTGGGACCAGGTTCCCAATTATCCAAAATATAGCTGTTATGCTGTCCGTGAGACTCCGTTAGGAATGACACTTGATGTCATATCTTGATGGTCAATGGCCACTAATACTGGCTCATGGGATTAATTACTAGATGTATGTTTAGATTTACGCTTTCGCAGTATCTCACGTGAACGTTTTTAGAAATATTTTTATAAAATGTTTTGGTAAAAGTTCACTCGTATTTTTATAAGATGTTTTTATTCCTTTTTAAATAAAGTCTTCTGCTGTGAATGTTAAATATCATGTATGTTAACAACCGGAGTACTACGGGGTGTTACATTTATGGTATCAGAGCAGTTTCACCGGGTCGTTCACTGATGTATTGCTTAAGTGTTAGAACTGTTTATTGAGTGTCTCTTAAGTGTCATGATATTGCATATGCTATCACTTGATTGAGCGTAGCTAACTCATACCTCGTGCAATTTTGTGTAGTGACATGGCACCTCGGGGGAGACCCAGGCAAATAGTTCAAAACCCTCCTCCTGATCCTATTGTTGCAGCTATAGTAACATTGCAGCAGACCCTGAATGAAACCAGGGAAGCTGATTTGAAAAGAATCGAAGAGGCCAGAGAGCGCGATAGAGAGCAGTTGAGAAAGGCCAGTGAAGACCTTATGGCGCAGAATAGGCTGGCCAATGCTGAGATGATCCGACTACTGTTGACAGAGGTACGAGGAAGACCTCCACCACCTTCACCACCTCCTCCACCGCCAGTTACACCACATGTGCAGCAGCAGGTTGCACGTGTTGCTGGTCCCGTACAGATTCTTGAGCCTGTTGTGCTGGGATAGGAAGGGTCAGGAGAGGCCCATCAGGAGGCGGAGGCATCTGTCCATGAGGGACTAGTGAGACAGCCAGTTATTGAGGTTGATAGACCAGCTATACCACCCAGGTTTGACCGGGATACTAGAGAACGTATGCTGAATGCTTTCAGGAAGCATTCCCCACCTCACTACAAAGGTGGAAGAGATCCCATCGCAGCATTGGAGTGGCTCCAAGAGATGGAGCGCATTTTTCAAGTTATGGAATGCAATGCCAACACGAATCTCCTATATGCGGTGTACATGTTACAGGGGGATGCTGCTGACTGGGGGAGTAATGTTAGAAACTCACTTGAGTGCCAAGGTTATGCTATTACTTGGCCGTTATTTGAGAGGCATTTTCTGCAGATGTAGCTGTAGGTTCAACTCCTTTCTTTTTCTCCACTAGAGGCTTTTCCACAGGTTGGATCACGATCCCACTTCTGGTAACAATGGACTTACATTGTGCATTATTGTTAGTGTCTGTGTTACTCGAAAAAGTGCTTTGAGTTCTTTCGGTGAACTGTCTTGACAGCTGGCCAATTTGAGTTTCCAGGTTCCGGAGAGAAGCTCTTGTTTCATCTCTGAAGGCGTTTGCATTCTGAATATAGTCGGAGGTGGTTTTGGACAGCTGTGCAAAGGCTTTCTCCCACTCTGAAGTGTTACCTTGTGGTGGGGGTTGTTGTTGCATTGGTAAAGGAGGATTCAGCTGATGATTTGATTTATAACTTAATCATGGGTGTTGATTTTGATTTTTCCACCCTTGATTATAGTTGTTTCCATATTGGTTCCTTCCCGGATTATTCTAGTTCTTTTGATTGTACCAGATTCCATTGACTTCAGCCTTCTCAGGTGTCCTCATGTAATCGCAATCTTCAGTTGCATGAGTATCTACACAAATACCATAAATAATTTGAGAATTAATAACAGAAGAAACTTGAGAATTAGAAAATTGCTTTATAAGAGCATCTAATTGTGCTTGTTGTTTCTTATTCATTTGCAGTATTTGTTCATTCTGAGCCAATATTGCATCATAGCCGTCAAGCTTCATGATCCTTGCTCTCCTACGTGAGACTGGGGCGTTATCAAACTCTTGAGAAGCTAAAGATTCCAGCAATTCTAACGCTTCCTCTGTAGTTTTTGTTTTCTATGATCCCCCTGCTGCAGCATTCACCAATGTTCTTGTGCTCAGCGTCATTCCTTGGAAGAAGATTCTTCCTTTCTCCCAGGCTTCAATGCCATGTTGGGGACACTTTCGGAGTAGTCCTTTAAATCTGTCCCATGCCTAATACTAGGATTCACTTTCTTTTTGTTCAAAAGTTGTGATCACTGCTTTGAGCCTTGCCATCTTTGAAGCTGAGAAAAATCTGGCCAAGAACTTCTTTGTCAGGTCGTCCCAACTGGTCATGCTTCCTTCAGGTAGTGACGGCAGCCAAGCTATTGCGTCTTCTTTAAGCGAACATGGGAAAAGTCTGAGCAAGATGGCATCACAAGAGACTCCATTCATCTTTATTGTATCACAATAAAGTAGGAAATCATCAAGATGACTGTAGGGGTCTTTTGTGCTTCCTCCAGCAAACTGCTCTTTTGAATCAATTGTAGCGGCGCTGGCTTGAGCTCGAAGTTGTTAGCGTCCACGGTTGGTCTAACAATGCTTGTCGTCTGCAGAACTCAGGCTGGAGTCATGTAATCTCCCAACATCCTTGGAGGGTTCTGAATTGCATTGTTGTCAGCCATTTTTCTTCCTTCGGTTTCGTCGAGCTTGCTGCTTCTTTTGCTTTTCTTTTTTTTGCGCTTTTTCTAAGTTTTTTGGCTGTCTTCTCTATCTCAGGATCAAACTGCAAGGATCGTGGGTTAACAGTACCTCGCATAAACTAAGAGTGAAAAGATTATGCAAAAAAATAGATTATGCAGAAAACATAAAACAGAAAATTTAAACAGAAAATATAATGCAGAATTATGCAGAATTTTTTTTTAAAAAGCGCAAAGGTGCGGCTGCTCACTTTGGCTCACCAAGTGGAGAAGAAAGCAATGGAACAGTAGTAAACTGGTCAGCTCCTCCAAGAAGGTTACGTAACAGCTGGTGTGTCTAGGGTTTTGGGCCAAGTTATGTATTTATAGAGGTTTAAGTCATTAAACATACAGTATTAGCATTAATTGCTACGCTTAGCATTTTAATCCCAAACTTAGGATTCTGAATCCACTCATTTTTCTAAGATTTATCATATTTTTATTTTATTTTTTCGCAGCACCTTTCCGGTACGCGCTTTTCCATAGCCAGTATCAGTTCTGGCACCAGTTCTCATTGGTTTGAGTTGAAACTTGTTTTACAAGTTCTATATATTATTCTAGTAATATTCTCAACTTATTATAATTTTCTGGGATACTTCATCAGTACGCATTTATATCGAGTAGCAGAACCGGCATCTGCACTTTTCGTCTGAAAAGTGACTTTCAGCATTATTACTCACTTACTATAATTTTCTAAGCCTCATAATAATTATTAGGGTCAATTATGGAATTATTTCCTAATTTATCATAATTAATTAATTAACTTCCTTAATTAACGGTGCGGGTTCTTAGAGTGCATGGGTCAGGTCGGGTCAGGTTTTTGTGCTGACTCGACCCAACTTGATTTTTATAGGTCAGGTATTTTGACCCGAACCGCTTAAATTTGATCCAAGTCAGGTCTGACTTGGTTTGGATTTTTTTGAACTAGAACTGGGTCGGATATGACCTGACTTGGTTTCTGAAGTGGGTCTGACTTGGTTTCTAAAATGGGTCACATTTGATCTGACCCGTTTTTGACTTGGTTTCAAAACATGTTTTTAATTTGCTTTTTTTATAGTTATTGATTTATTTTTAAACTCGTGAAATTTCTACATTGCAAATGACGAAAATTTCATCACAAAATTATTTTTTCGTCGGAATACTTTTTGTCGAAAAGCGACGAATTTTTTTTTTTTTTTTTTTTATAACACGAAATTTTTTCTCTAATGAAAATTTTTACAAAATAAATTTTGTATCGAAATTTAGTTTCCTTCAGAAGTTTTGATGAAATTGATTTCCTCCATCAAATGTTTTAAATGAAAAAAGAATTCCGTCAAAAATTTTGACTGAATGTTTTTCGTTCAAAATTTTGATGGAAATGTGTTCCGACAAAATTTTTTAAAAAAATTGTTTTGAGGGAAATGTTTCATTCAAAACTTTCGACGAAATTTAGATTCTCCAAAGAATTTTGACAGAATATTTTTTCCATCAAATTTTTTTATCGAAATATTTTTTATCAAGATTTTTTGACAGAAACGTGTTCCGTTGATAATTTTGATGGAAATATTTTTTATCAAAAAACTTGACGAAAATATTTAGTTGAAAATTTTTTATGGAAATATGTTTCGCTAAGAAATTTTTTTTTGTCAAAAAGTTTAACAAAAATGTTTCCGTCGAAAACTTTCGTCGGAATTTGAATTCTGTAAAGCTTTTTGATGAAATTTTTTTCCGTCAAAAAATTTCGATGAAAATGTGTTTCGTCGAAATTTTTGATAAATATGTTTTTTTGTGAAATATTTTGACGAAATTTAGATTCCGTCAAAAAATTTGACACAAAATTTTCCGTCAAATTTTTTTACAGAAATGTTTGTAGTCACAAATTTTGATTAAAAAAATTTCGTCAAAAATATTTGCCAAAAATTTTGATAGAAATATTTTTCGTAAAAAATTTTGACGTAATTGTTTTACGTAAAAACTTTTCTTTTAACGTAATTGTGATTTTCTTTTTCTTTTTTTTCACATAATGGGTGTGGGTCAAGTTTTGGGTCAATGAGTCGTTATTAAAACAAGTCAGGTCGAAAACTGACCCAAATAAAAGTGGATCAGTATTTGAACCCAGTTCAAAAAAATAGGTATTTATAGGTCAGGTCAAGGTCAGATCAAGGGCAGGGTAAGTAAACCAATTTTTTCCACACCCCTACTGTGGATCACCGTTGGAAGGCGCTATCATTTTGCGCCTACAAGTGAAAAGGTAATTTTGAAACCTCATCTCGTTTCAATGTAAAGATTCCTAAAGCATTCATACATGAGGTGCATAGATGGTCTATGCTTCCGCACCCCGAAATTTTTTGTTTTTTCCACTCATGTATGCGCCCAATAGTATGACTATGGTGCTGATTTTTCGAACCTTTCATCATCTCATACACTCACATAGCAAAAAAACTCACTTTCTAAGTTGGGACTAATCCACTTAACCATTGATTCCAATATTTTAGTATGTTAAACTAGATATCTTGGGCTTTCCGGAAAGGCATAACAATAACCATTTGGTTAAGTGTAGTCAGAGTTATTAAACTAACAGGGTAACTGCTTTATCCAAATTTCTAAAAATGTAGCATCAAATTTAAATCAAAACTGGTACTAATATACTCACCCAATGGTTCTAAAATTTTATAAGGTTATAACCCTATGTGTTAGCTTCATACATGTCTAAACTCACTAAATTTGGAGCCTTGTAGCTCAAGATATGATCATTTTATTATAGCATGTTCCTACTTATTCTGGGCAGCGCACTTTAGCACGCTCTTCGAACACATTTTCTTTCCAGTAGCACGCTTTAGCGCCTCCCAGCGTGCTTTAGCGCTCCGAACCCAAAGAAATTGGCATTTCTAAGAGTGCTTTAGCGCGCTCCCCAGGACCAAAAATGGTCCATATCAGGTTGTAAAATATCTAGGAACATTTCCAACCCACTTTGGATACCTAATTGACCTGTTTGGCACTTCTAGGACCAATATCCATAGGCACAACACCTATCCTTTAATTCTTTCTCATCATATACATGACTTGGGCATCAAGCCATACTTTACTTCATTACAAGCTACCTCTTTTCAACCTCATTTTCATGCATATGCTTACACTTGAACCATTTCATAATTTGCCAACTCTCAGGCCTCAAATGCTAAGAGAGATCATCACCTCATTGGATGTCTCAACTTAGACTTTCTTCTATTAATCATACATCTCAGATAATGTCTCAATATACATATATTGTATCAACATGAATAATATACTATTCTTGACAAAAAGTAAGTACATCATCAATGTCTCTCAATACATTACATGTCGTGGAACTTAGTTACACAACATGATCAAAGTTCCTTACCAAAATATACATTAAGGGCAATACAAAGTAACTATGATCATTTCCTAAGTTCGTATATATATATCATATGTCTTCTCAAAATTGGATTACAAATATATATATATATATATATATATATATATATAGACACACACACACATACACACACAAAAGTAATCCATATTCTAACAACATGCAATAACTGATATCTAGGATGGCCTCTTGTCACTAAATGCTCCCTCTCCATCAGTGGAGGTACCTGAAATATGATCTCCACACGGGGTGAGATAAACATCTTGGTAACCTAGAGGTCCTTAGAGGATTCTTCCACCCAAAGTTCACTTTAGGTGTAATAGCAATAAACAGCGATAATACATCATATAGTATCATGCAATGTATAGCAATGTCAACCAAGACATCCATCAGGGCAACACACCGTCATTGGAATGCTCATACAACAACTAGTCGTACTGGCCAAAGAAATGATGATGCATGCATTACGCAAAGAATGACCCATCTTGCAACATACCAAGTATAAGGAATTATCCATCTTATACCAAACACAAGGAATTGTACATCTTATGTGTAACATCTCGGGTGCTAATGATGGGGGGAATGATCGCTGGTGCAAAAGAGATGAGGCACGAACAATGAGCGACTCCTAAAAGGCATAAGGGTTGGGTTGTACTATCAGCCGTTATGCCCACTATCTGGAGTCCAGACCTGCTAAGGTAGGAGGGCTATGACTTTCAGCATAAGAGTTACATGAGAGAATCGAATCAACACTCGAACGAGAGGGATCCAAAGACTCTACAGGTATGGGACTGAACAATTGAGGATGACTTATAAGAATTAATAGGTACTACCTATACTAATAAAATGCATATACTTTTTGGTAGCCTATAATAAAAGAATTCCATAGTTAAGTGTGCTTGACTTGGAGCAATTCTAGGATGAGTGACCCCCTGGAAAGTTTCTCAAGAAGTGTGTGAGTGAGGACAAAGTATGCTGAAAAGTTGTGTTAGTTGGTGGGGACAATCATTGCTCGTGAAAGTCACCGGACGTTACATTATGCCTCACACATGGAATTATCCATCTTGTGTGGCAAACAAGGCAAATAAATTCAATGCATTATATCACTATCCCAACAAGCACGTTTATTATCACAAGCACATATGCCAAATATGTGAAATTGTAATTAACAACTTATT